TCGAGTGCCACATTAGTCGTAGGTGAACGGTGGAACGAGTTGCATCCCTTCATGAAATTGCTGAATTTTGGGGCGTATTTATCCAACTACACCCCACACCTTCTATATAAAGGACCCCTAAAGCGTTTATTATTCATTCCATTCTATATTTACACTTTGGTTTTGCTTAAAAACACTTTCTAGAAGTAATACCTTTTTGCATCATAGTCATGGTTATACTAGAGAAGAACTTCGTTGGTCTAAGTCATTTGGAGTGCTTCTATGCTAGACAGTCTTTGTAAAAATTGTTATGAAACTCATGTTTAATTGGTATATCACAATAGATCATAAGGCCACGAGATAGTCCTCTATTACTGCCTCATTTCTCCCAACATAAGTGAAAAGTGGGTCTCTACCTAACAAAAGTGTCACTCTCACACTCCACTTTATTAGGGTCTTTACAGATAAAGGATTTGACATTTAATCACCTCTTCACTTATGATCTATATATCACTCTCCACATCTGCCATTATATATCACCAATACATCCTATGACATCTATACTCCAAATCACTAATAGACACGCTACACACTTACTATTAAGCTCACTATACATGCAAGCATATTGTACCAAGTAACCAGATTGTTCTCAAATTCATGCAAATGTACATATCAAATATATTGAAATGTAACATATAATCATGCAACAAAATTAAGCAATCACAAACATGTAAAAATGTTACACACAGATACACACGCAGTAACATGTTTACTCTCAATAAATCTCAATAGGGTCGTCACTCGACCCAATAGCCACATTTGCCTCACCTCTTACCTTAACCTTTACCTTCTGCTTAACCTTCTTCTTAAGACAGTCCCCACATAAATTTTCAAGCTTTACCACAGCTATAATGCCACTTACCACTTGACTTATCCCAACCACCGCTGTTCTTCTTATCACCTTCGTCACTTGAGTCGCCATGATCTTGAGTTTTACCCAAACTCATTTGCTTAAATTTCATTTTACTCCTCATCATATGTACCTCACCACCCCTCTTATCTTTCAGTCTTAATTTTTATCTCGAGTGTTAAGGTGTTCCTACTATACTTAAATGCATTCTTAACCTCCCTATATGAATCATGCATAGAATTGTGCAAAATAATAACCTTATAGGTTTCAGACACATTCTCAACACAATTGACAATATCTTGAACAAGCTTGTTAAAAATATTCAAATTGTCATCGAGATCCTTTGAAGGATCCATTTTGATATTGAAGAATATTTCAAACAAGTACAACTTTTTAGGAGTGGACTTAAGCAAATATTAATTTGAATCATGCTATAAGTACATATTTTTTTGACAGAAAAACTTTATAGACAATGCATGACACGACATCATTGGAAGATGGGGAAAAAAGTAGAAAAACAGGCCACTTATATTTTGCCAAGTCAGCGTCGGTACAAATTCTGTTATTTTTTCTGTACTTGTGGCTTTATTGATACAAGTTTTTAAAAGAAAAAGACATTTTCATCCATCTTTAATTTTTACTGGTAAAAAATCCAAAGTTACATAATTTTAATAGATTTACCCTCGTTTGGCCCGCATTAAATTAAATTTTATTTTTTTCTCTCTTATATTTTCATCCACACAATCTTTTATAAAATAACATTACACTTAAACCGGAAAACTTTTCATTATTTTTCAACAACTCATTCTTCAAAAAATACTATTCCGCTCATTTTAATTTGAAAAAATAGAGGCCATATGGGGGCTTAATGGGTTATTAGAGTTTCCATAATTTTTTTTTTATAAGACATAAAGCATTTTATACATTTCTTTTCAAAAAATATTTCCCACAAGTTACTCCAACTTCGAACACATTCAAAAAGCGAATACTACAGTCACATTCAGAAATTACATTGCAAATTACTGTTGAATTTCGAATCGTGAGTGTCAAATTGATCACTATTGTCAAGACATATTTAGACCGCAATTTCTACAGTCACATTCATTGAGATTAATTACATATTAGGGTCCGTTTGATTGCAAAGATAGAATTTGGGTGGAAAACAAAACGAATTCCAAGGAATTGAATTGGCTAAAAATTGTTTTGCTGGGATTGTCAATTATTGTATTTGATTAGTATAACTTTCCACCTGAAAAATGTTGAAATAAAAGTATTTTTTCATGTACGTTTGACTTTGTTTTTCATGCAAATTGTCAATTTAAGGAAAATATTTTTTTTACAATTAGGCATAGAATTTGTTTCCATTCCCAAAAAAAAAAAGGGTTGCCTAGAGAACCAATTCTCACCATATCCTTAAGAATTGTAATTCCCCAAAAACAAGGAAAATGGGCGCGTGAGGGGAGGAGATGGAAAATAAATTCCATGGAAAAAAATTGCCATCAAACATGGCAAAAGTGGGAAAGTAGAATTAATTTACCATTTTCCATGGAAATCATGACCTACCAAACATGGCCTTGTGAATTCGCAATGTAAACCAGAAATTTCGCACTTTATTGCACCAAAAATTTTTCCTGGCGATGGAGAGGACATGCTGGATTCTACTTTAGATTTTGGATATATTGCTGATTTGGGTGGTAGCCGTGGTCAGACAATCTAGTGAAGATATTAGGGGCTCGTTTGGAAGCGATTTTGAGAATTGATTTTTTGACCATTAGAAGAAAAGTGAGGGCCATCTTTCAGAGAAGAAGTCAAACTTTACGTAGGGATGACAATTTGAACTGTTAAAATCGAAAACCGCAGTTAACCGAACTAAATGAGGCGAAAAAAATCGAAGGGATGGTGCAATGGGGACGGATATGGTATATGATTTTAATAAATCGGTTCGTGGCGGTATGAGTATGGTATTTATGCCGTCGAACCGATTACCCGCTTAAAAAAATCATTCTTTTATTAGTGATGACAAGGTTTAGTGAAAAGGAAGTTGACGAAGATGTACATTTTTTTATTTAAATCTTAAAATCATTCTAGATTAGGTAGTATCGTTGTATTCTCTACTTACATTTCTTATTTACTATATAGGAATCAATTTTAAGTGCTGACCTATGCTAGTAAGAGTTGAGGGGAAGAATGAAGATTGAATATGAGTTAAGGTTGAAGCTTTTGAATTATTGAGCATAAATCAAGTAACTACAATGCACAAGAATCAAGAATGAAGGAAAATTTTAGTATTATTATATTCATTATATTGTTTGTTAAATTGGTATTTTGCAATTGAAATTTGGAATAATGTTTACATTTTCGTTTGAAATATTGTGTTTTTGTTTTCATTGACTCTCTTTTCATAAATTATTTTATATCAATTTGACGAATGGACATGTAGAAAAAAAATTATTTTCGTGGTTATTAACCTAACCGAACCGAACCGAGTCGAACTGAGATACGAACTGAACCGAACCGAACCGAACCGATTTACGTGGTTATGGTGCGGTTATGGTATGTCAAAAAATTTGACGGTTCGATGATAGTTTTGGCCGAATTGAACCGAAATCGAACAATTGCCATCCCTAACTTTACGGCTAAAAATAGTGAAATAACGATCAAAAAATCAATTTTTGAGGGGTGAAAAATTACTCCCAAACCCTAGATAACAGAAAAGGCATGTTTGAGTAGGACGTTTGTGATTTTTTTCTTTACATCCGCTTTTAATTTAGCCCCCATTTGGCCCCCATTCTGTAAAAATGAAAATGGGTGGAATAGCGTTTTTTATTAAAATTGGTGGTTGAAAAAGAGGGAAATTTTTTTGATTTACGTGTAATATTATTTTATAGAAGATTGTGTTGTTAAAAATAGAAGAGAGAAAAATGAAATATTAGTAAAATGAAAATTGATGGAGCAAAACGGGACTTTTTTGAAAAGTGTAAATCATATGAACCGTACTCCAACATATCAGTAATTCAAACTAGAGGTGGGCACGGGCTTTAGAACCAAACTGAACCAAAATTTTGGGTATCTAGTAAATCGAACCGTCGGGTCCAAATATAATTATGGAACCGTTTGGGTTCGGTTCCATTCGGTTCCGTACTATAATTAAATTTTTAACATTTATAACAACACTATATAAATACAACTAATGACGCATTCAATCGTAGTTTTACAAATTAACATAGTCCAATTTAATAACGTGTAAATAACAAGTTGTCCAACAAGATTAATTTACCCATGCTTACAATTTACAAATACCAAAGAGTAGATAGTAATATTAAAACTTCAATTATCCATCAATTGCTTGACTTGCCAATTAAACAGAGAGAAACGAATAAAACATTCTGGAAAACCCTTAAAGAGCATAAGCTAAATGCTAACTAATCTTATTAACATGATCAGCTGGCTATTTCTCCAATTTAGATGTTGCATACAAACCTACCAAAACTAATCTGTATTAGAACTAGTGGAAGAACTAAGTGTAAGAGAAAATTTTACTTTGTGAAGGGACAACACACAAGTCTAACAGTCATTGAGTATAGTTGATTCAACTATAGGCGACTTGATAATATGGAAAAGGAAAGGAATGGGAATTGGAGAGAAAATGCAATATTAAAGATTCAACATGGAAGCTGAGTTCAGTCTCATATATAGCGGACAAGGGATAGTAATAGTCTAAGGTAGATCTTTTAAGGCAGACACTGATAAAAACATGTTTGGATCATGTTGGGCTAAAAAATGAAACAATAAAATGGGTAATTGGGCCAAAAATTAAAAAAATTAGAAATAAAACAAATTATTGGGTCAAAAATTTGGATTTAAGAATTGTTAATTTGTTTAGAAAAAATTAAAATTAAAATAATTTAATTTATTCAATATAAAAAAAATTAGAGAGATTCGATTCTTGTTCGATTTTTCAGTTCTTTGTCTATAATCGAGAACCGAATCGTACCCGTCGGTCCTCAATTCAGATATCCGTTCGAATATTTAATTTGAGAAGAACCATCGAATTCGGTTCGATTCGAATTCGATTCAATTGATTTGATTGGGCTCGGTAGATTTGGCCGGCCCTAATTCAAACTCACTCTCTCTCCCCTCAATAATTTCTAGTCTTTCCCGTTTTCTGGTTTCAAACTCCATTTTCAGATCTACAAGCTCCAAAGCTATATGCCAAAATTGGTAGAATCTATTAGGCTTTTAAACACAAATATTTTTTTCCCTGCAATCGCGTGTATCCTTTCCCTATGTCATCAGGAGAGGGTGAAACAGACACAGATCCTTTCCCTATGTCATCAGGAGAGGGAGAAACAGACACAGACTGCCTGGACACGGGAGAGGAGTACCCTTTACAAGACGAGGATACACTGTTTACTGGGCCAAAAGGATTCCGTATAATCGTGTCCGAGTATATTTCAAATTTGTCCTGCCAACTTGGGCTCCCATCAACCGATTTATTTCATTTTCCAGAGCCGATTGGAAACTCAAAAGGTATTGAAAATATTAGACACTGTCTCCAACAACTATTGTCACGTGGGAAAAAGCTTGAGGAATTCTTCACTGTCCCAAACCAGCAAAGCTTGTCTTGTCCCAATGAAGTTGTTGCAGCCTTTATCAACTTTCTACTCCGAATGGTAGAATCCATCCTATGTTTTAAGGCAGAATACATTGCTTTCCATAATCTCCGGACAGAGCTAGGATTTCTTATTACTTTTCTTGGAGATACATCAATGCATTTGCAGCCCACCAATAAGGTAGTGATAGATATCGAAGCTGTGGTTAATGAGGTAGGAAGTTTCTTTTATTCCTTGTATTTCACCTTTGACGTATTCTTTGCCACTCGGAAGGAAGAAACCCTTTTTACTTATTTGATGCTTAATTCGACGGATATTGAAGATGTGGTCAACCACGTTGTAAGTTTCTTGCACTCTGGCATTTCCGACGTTCTTGAGGACAGGCCATTGCAGACCACTACTGAGGTAGAAGAAACCGAGAAAGTAATGGCGGATATCAAAGCTCTGGTCCATGAGATAGGAAGTTTCATAGTTTTCACCAAGAATGATCAAGTCCCTGAGAGTGGATTAGTGGATCTAGCTCTTTCCGATTTGTTACCAAAGTTCGAGCTCTTGAAATCAAAGATCAAGGAGCACTGCATCACAGTCTCAAAGATGCCAATTGATATGGCTCCAAAGGCTGGTGTGGTTTCCCTCTTCATTGTTGATTCGGTTCTTGATGATCTCATGGACCTAATAAATAACAAGTCTGACAGGATTGTTGGTATGAACGATCAAATTGTAATGCTACATGAGGAGCTATTGTTATTGGGATCTTCCATCACCAGTATAGCTGTGCAGCAAGAAGCAGAGCAGGAAGAACTCATAATAAAAACCAGAGACGTAGCATTTGAAGTTGAATATGTTATCAACTCATTCCCCCCTGTTTGGTATCTCACCCTCAGACTTCCTCTGCTCATTGAGAAGATTCAGCTTATTACGATGGACATCAAAGAAGTGAAGAACGATATTGATGTGGCTGGAATGCCAGAAGTTGCAAAATATCCGGATGAACACTTATTCTCACAATCTAAAGGAACTCCCATTTTGGAAGATGTTATTGTGGGGTTTGAAGATGTTGCACTCGAAATTGCAGAACAACTTGTTAGAGGAAAGGAGCAATTGCAAATTATCTCCATATTTGGAATGCCTGGACTTGGTAAGACGACTTTAGCAAATAAACTATATAATGATCCATCCGTAGTCTATCATTTTTACAAGCGAGCCTGGTGTGTTGTTTCTCAAACATATGATAAGAAAAATATTTTGATTAACATTTTGAGCTGTATAAAAAATGTTAAGCGAGAACAAATTGCAATCAAGGACGAAGAAAGTTTGGCTGAAGATGTTTACAAAAGTTTAAAAGGAAGGCGATATCTTATTGTTCTGGATGATATATGGGATACAAAATTATGGGATGATTTGAAAAGAATTTTTCCAGATGACGGAACTGGAAGCAGAATCTTATTCACCACTCGGAATAAAGAAGTAAGTTCGAAATTGTCACCTCATTGTGTCATAAATACACTTCCTTTTCTATCAGAAGATGAATGCTTGGATTTATTACAAAAGAAAGTGTTCAGAGGTAAAAGTTGTCCTCAAGAACTGCTAGACGTTGGGAAGAAGATTGCAAAAAAATGTCATGGCCTACCACTTGCCGTGGTCGTGATAGCTGGAGTTCTTGCAAATATGGAGAATAAAGAACACTTGTGGCAAGAAGTTGCAAGAAATTTAAGTTCACATTTATCCAAAAATTCAGACAACTACATCCAGATATTAGAACTTAGCTATAATCATTTGCCAATGCACTTGAAACCATGCTTTCTTTACTTTGGAGCATTCAAAGAGGACGAGGAAATCCACATACAAAAGTTGACATCATTATGGGTTGCTGAAGGATATATAAAGAAGGAAGAGCAAAAGAGTTTAGAGGATGTGGCACTAGAATATGTGATGAAACTCATTGATAGGAGCCTGGTACTTGTTGCTGGAAAAAAATTTGATGGTTCAATCAAAACTTGTAAGATTCATGATCTATTGCGTGAAATGTGCTTGAGAATAGCTGAAGAAAAAAACTTTTTGAAGATTTTCAATATGTAAGTTACCTATTTCTCTTATTTTTTTCTTCTCTATTCGTACATTTTTATTTTAGTGTACTAATAATGGTAACTATATCTGATGATCGTATCACGTGTGATTATGTTTATACCAGTGATTATGAATCTCATCCACTACCGTACTTCAATGAAGTGGTGATGTATCAGAAACACCATTGTCTGAGTATCGTCTATGGGGAGGATCACGCTAACTCACTACCGTACTACAGTGAAATGGCGATGTTTCGGAAACGCCATTGTCTGAGTATCGTCTATGGGGAGGATCCTACTGCCTCACTACCTTTCGGCCCACATACGCGCTCTCTTTTATGTGGTAATGTAACGTTGCCCACATTAGTTGCATGCGGCTTCAAAGTTCTTAGGGTCTTGGATTTTTGCAGGCCCTGGATAAATCTTGTTGTAGTCGGAATTAACCAGCTCGTTCACGTGAGGTACTTGGCACTTTCATCTACACTTCCACCAATGGATAGCTTCCACAAACTAGAATTTCTTGTCATGAGAAGTCATAATATTGAAATACCGGATGTCCTCCTTAATATGATGAGTTTGAGACAAGTGCATTTCGAGGGTGGTGCATACTTCAGTGAGTCTATCCGTCATCGAGCAATTAAGGATAAGAGCTTCCAAATAAAAAGTAACCTACAAAGTATTTCTTTCCTTCAAATTTTCGATGAAGTGGATGAGAAAATTTTGAGATGTTTATCCAATCTTCGCAGACTTAAGGGCAGGGTTAAATCTTCACACAGTTATTCTTTCGACTTCCTGAATCAGCTCGAATCATTGAAGCTCAGATCACGTAGTATCGTGGGATATTCATCGTTCAATTTGATCAGTCTGCCCTTAAATCTCAAACAATTGACTTTAATACGTGTACGCATGGCACAGGAACAAATGGAGTTAATTGGGAAATTGAAGTACCTTGTGGTTCTCAAATTACGTTATGTTTCCTTTGATGGACGACGATGGGACACTAGTGAAGGTGAATTTCCACAACTTAAATTCTTGAAACTCTCTAATGTGAGACTTGCAGAGTGGAATACCTCAAGAGATCATTTCCCAAGACTTCAACGACTAGGATTGAGATATTGCAAACATTTGAAGATGATCCCTCCCAGTTTAGGTGATATTCCAACATTACTAATGATTGAGGTATATGACTGCGTGGAAGCTATCAAAGAATCTGCTAAGAGAATTCAAGAAGAACAAGAAGAAATGGGAAATGAAGAACTTAAAGTCATAATATTTGATCAGGAGAGTAAAAATGAAGCAGAAAGTGAACCTGAAAAGGAAAGTAAAGCAGTAAGTGAACGTGAAGAAGAAAGAAACTAGTAAACAAAGAATATTTTTTGTTGGTATACCACGATTCTCTAAAAATTCGCCTTTCACTTATTCAATTGGATTGTAAACATTTTTTTTTCTTGCAGGAGATACCTTTGCCAGCCCTCTGAGACATTTTTGAGTGTAATAAGAGTTCTCATCTCGTTCCTAGGTATTGCGTGTACTATTAAATAAAACATCAAATAACTTCTATCTTATGTTTGCCTTGTTTCGAAACTAAGATGAGCTCTATTTTTGCCTTCTAGGAATTACTGTATTTCATAAGCTGCTGTTTGAGGTATTGAGTTTAACAATACTTGACTAATTTAAAACACGTAGGACTAATACAGATCACCTTGAAAGAGATTTGAGAGCTTAGCAAGTTGATTAAGTTGCATGTTGATCATTCATTGAGCAAAAATGAGTTTTTAAAGTATGTGAATTTTGTAAATGGCATGTTTAAACTATTAGTGCCTGGCAGAATTCGAACTGTGTTGAATTCAATTTGTGTTCTACTTTATTCTGTAAAATTAAGATTAAAAATGATTTATGAATTCATCTTTGAATGATTTTAATCTATTTGAGTAGTAAACATTTCTCTATAACATTTTGCACGCTAGTTGTTTCCGTATCTTGAGATTCTAACAGTTCCACTATATCTCAACAAATAATTTATTATCATATTCAAAACTCCTTCATAGTTGTAATTTTGAGAAAAGATGCGTTGTGATGACTGAAGGTAAATTGTAAAGATGCCTTGCCCACGAGCTCGTCCTATTTTATACTTTAATAAAAGCAATGCATTGTGCCTTGTCCATGGGATTTTATTTTATGCATTTGTACCTAATTTGCATTGGGTATTCACATCAATTCTGTTTATGATGCATAAGCCTTTTCAATATTGTTGCAAGTTTAGAAATAAATCATGGGTTATACCTCAAACAAAGTCAATTTTTGAAGAGCAGACTTTTCTTTAAAAGTGAAGAAAAAGAAGTAAAATGGTTTAAAATTGGACTAATGTATAGATAAAGTTTTAACAAATAAAACCGTACTTTTCTTAAAGAATCATCTATTATTGATAAGAAACATATGTTTCTTCAATGTGTGGATGTTCTAGAAGGACCCTAAAAAACAAAGCTCAAGTATTCTAATATTGAGGAAGTTCTATGCAAGCCATATGAAAACTGGACTCTATGCTATTCTCCTAGGACATTATTTTTACAAAAGGGTAGATGTGTTATGTGATTTTTCCCAAAAGCTCCTTGTTTTGCAGCATTTGCAACCCTTTATTACCCAAGTCAGCTAATTTTTGGTGCAACAGATTATTACAATTACCCTTAACAGAGTTAGCCATTGCAGAATCTGCAGAAACGCTCTCTATTTTCGAGAAGACTATTCCAAACTCTTTTGATGGAAAGGAGTGCTCCTTACAATTTCTAGCACAGACATCTCTAGTTTCAAATCTTACCCTTATATTTCCAATCCTATAACTCTGCACGATATATTATTTCCTATAACTACTACCATTCTGTTTATTTCTTTATAGGTACAATAAATGTCCTTTCTGGATGTCATATGAAATGTGCAATCTAATTCTTGTAACCATTCATTTAAATAATCAATGGAAGGCGCTCGGTCTCTTCCACTTGGATGGCTACATAGAGATCATCAAGAGTCTCGTTGCTAGTTGTGGCAAAATTACTTGGTTCGATTTCTATTTCATTTTATTGAAATTATTGTTAGGTTTATAACAATCCTTAATATAATGTCTCTTTTTCCAAAATTACAGCGTTTTCTTTTTTTAGCCTTCGACTTACACCCAAAATAACTCCTACAGTTCTTTTTACGGTGATGACTATTAGAATTATTACTCTCCTAACCACTAGACTCTCTATGTTTGGATTTACCCCTTAGCATTGGTTTTAGTTTCTGTATCATTTCTAAGTTCTAGATCATTGCTTCTTAAAGTATTGATGACACTGTTAGCCTCCTCATCGCTCTCTGTGATAGCATTTTACAGGATGATTGCTTTATACTTGTATATTCCCTTGTTGCCAAATTTTTTTTTATATCTTGAATCAAGTAATTAGATTCAAGAGTTTCCCAAATACCCAACACACAATAAAATACAAAAAGTATTTATCAAATGCCAAAAAATAGTCAATCATCACAGAGAGAATATCACACAAAGTGAATCACTTACTGATCTTAGTTCTAGATTTATTATCAAGAGATCCTAGGATTCCGTGAGGATTAGGTCCTCAGGTCAAGGGAGTTTTCAAGATAATCTCTTAGGGATAGTTCTACATAAACAATTAACACCAGGAAATGATAAAAGGATACAGAGATCATCAAGTATTCATGTAAGGAGACGGGACAATCAAAACGCAGACTATCTCACAGAGTTAAGTAGTTACATGAACACTTCAGAACTAACAATTTCTTGGATTCTACGTCCTAATACCTTTAAACCATGGTCAGCGAATTATTTATTTCCCCAGGGGTTTGGGATTTTTGCTGAGTTGAAAGCCATTTTTCGCCAATGATCGCGATGCCATACTAGCAATCTCAATCAGTTCTTTCTCCTGTGACGATCAGATTATTTGGCTCTACGAGTGGAGTGGGAAATTCTCGGTTCAGTCCGGATAGAGATTATAGATTGGCATCCAATCTCAACATCAAGCATCTACATCTTATAATGTGGTAATAAAAAACTGGTGGAAAGGCTTCTGGACGCTAAACATTCCACCAAAGAATAGGATTTTCATATGGTAAATTCTCTATGAACATATTTGAGTGGAGGCGGTACGCTACATAGACGGTAAATTGTCACTCATTCAATTTATCCTTTCTATCAAAACCATAAGAAAATTTGAGACACATGTTATAATACAATGTAAAATTGCGGAAATAATGTGGCAAAAGATGGAGCGATCAGATTATATGCAGACATAGCAATGGCGGAAAATTTGGACATCTGATACATATGTTCACTACAGTACCGCGATCAACTCTTGAAAACTGCTGTGTTCTTTGATGTGTATGGAGCGACCGCCTTGCATTGATACACGAAAATAGAATATATGAATTATATGAACGCTGCTTTTGTTGATATTGGGCTTAATTTCTTAATTAGCCTTTCATTCTAATGTGCTTATAATATAATGTCAAAATCAAGTTTAACCATACATTTCATAGGACTCACAAATACTCACTTATACATCATGCATTTCTATCACATTATATTTCAAAAACGTATAATGAAATCCAAATAAGCACTAAATATTTTCTTTTAAATTTTATGGTTGAACGTTTGTCTACATTGTACACTCAGTATATTTTATCAACTTGTCATGTACGTATGTTAGTTCATTTTATCACATGATCGATTTAACAAAAAATTAAGTACTTTACATGCTCAAAACAAAATGATTAATTCTTAAATTACGACAAGTAAAAGTGGTCATCATAATGGGAAAAAAAAATCATCATAATAATGAGACTTCTATTGAGGATATCAATATATATTAGTAATCTAACATGGGAAAAATTCTTTTAGTTTCTCCTAAGAATGAAAACATACATTAACACAACAATAATTTCACGCGGTGTGTGTGAAAACGAGTAAGAAGGTGAGTTTTCTTCTTAAAGCAAGTAAAGAAAAATGAATAATCATCTTGAACATCGTCATTGCATCCACATCTTCAACAAAAGCTCAAAAAGTAATTTGAACATCTAAGGAGTGCAATATTTTTGTTTACATCTAGTCCCTTTTTATATTTTTTGGGGACTCTTTTCATCCATTGTTTAATTTAAAGGCATTAGAAAAGTGAATCATATGAGCTGTACTCAATATATTGATTAACTCAAATTCTTTCTCTCCCTCTTCAATAATTAGTAGTCTTTTTCCTTCTCTTGTATTGATTTGCTTTTCAGATCTACAAGCTCCAAAGCTATAAGCTACTAAAATTTAGTAAAAATAGAAAGCAAAATTAGAATACCAATGTTACTTGCAAAAGCAATGTGAGTACAGAAATTTCACTTTTGACAACGCACTTTTCTATAGTAAAAAGTTAATTTTTTGGTTGTTTCGTCAAAAAATTGTCATCATGATACTTTTGAAGACAAGAATTTTCATCGTTAAATTTTTTCTCGAGTTCACAATGTATAATAATTATCCATTTCAAGGATAGATTGGAAGATATGATTCAATTTAATTTTTTCTTGTAAACCTCAAGAGGCCATCATGGGCCCAAAATATTTGGGGCCGATATATAAGTTTAAAAAATGTGCTTTACATATATAACCCACATTTTCGTCTTTCTTTAATTTTTCTTGGAATACTAAAAAATCTAAAATCATATAAATGATCCTTAATTTTTATAGATTTAATGGGTTATTAGAGTGTTCATAATTTTTTATGAAGTACTACGACTTTAAATTTCGAATGCGTAGTGGCAAATGATCAATGTTGAAGTTTGAGACTGGGGTATTATTGTTAAGTTACATTCAAAAGGTGAATACTGCATTCACATTCAGAAATTAAAATGCAAATTACTGTTGAATTTTGAATCAAGAGTATCAAATTGATCATTGTTACCATTGTTGAGATATATTTCTAAGTCACAGACATTGAAATTCATTACACATTAGTGAATTAGCATTGAAGGCGTTTTCTGATGCAAATAAAAAAATTTGCACTTATTGCACCGATGATTTTTCTTGACAATGGAGATGACACGCTCGATTCTGTTTTAGATTTTGAATTTACTATTGATTTGGGACAATCCTTTGAGGACATCGGATAACGAAAAAAAAATTATGTCAAAAATGAAACGATGGAGCAAACAAATAAAAATATATAAAACTTTGAGTACATTGTTTATTCAACTTTTGTATTGTTTTTAATTTGGACTCCACAAATAAGATTTCACATAGGTGATGTGATGAAATAGCACAGAAATGGTAGAAGAAATATTCAGACTTTTGTGAACTTTTCTTATGGCTTTTTCTTTATATCCATTGTTAAATTTAAAGCTATTTGAAAAGTGAATCGTATGAGCTGTACTCCAATATATTCAATATATTCAAAAATGGTCCCCAAGACACAAGAGTTACCTTTTTTTAATTTTTTGTCGAGTTCACAATGTATAATAATCATCCATTTGGGAGTTAATTGTTCCATTGATCACTAAACTTAGGTTCATGTCTTCGATTGCTCACTTAAGTTTAAAATGTCGAGTTTTGATTACTGAACTTAGGTCCATGTCTTCGATTGTTCATTAAGGTGTCGAGTTTTGGACACTAAACTTAGATCCATATTTTCGATAGCTTACTAAGTTTAAAATGTCAAGATTTGGCCAATGAACTTTGGAAAATGTTATACTGTTACCCACTAAAATAACTTCCATCTCAAATCTCCAACAAAATTGCTGATGTGGCCGGCGGAATGTATATGTGGCACCCCGTCACATTGTTAAACTTTAAGGTCAAATTTTTGCTACTAAACTTTTAAAAATATCTTCTATTACTCACTGAACTTTGAAGTGGTCGAATTTTGGCCACTGAACTTTGAAAAAGTTGAACTTGGGCAAATAAACTTCGAAAAACATCTTCTATTACTCACTATAAATTTAGATTTAATCATACATCCATACAATAAAATATTTTACACGTAAACTCAAATTTTTTCCAACTTTTTAACTACACACTCTTCAAAAAATAACATTCTCCAAAAAAAATCACTATTTTTAGAACTTTTTTTTTTAAATAATGGCCATTAAACATGGGCTAAAATTCGTTTTTTTTTTAAAATTCGAATTTAATTTAATTTTTACGATAAATATATTGTGTGTTTCATTGCAATTAATAGTCACTTCCTTCACACAGCTTTGCAAACATTGTCCGTACCACTAGGAATGATTACTGAATTATATAGTAATTAAATTTAAATTTAATTTATTTGTTTAGAATTTGAAGCTATTTTCATTATGATATTTGAATTTTATAATGAAACACGCAATGAATTTGTTTGTTGTTAAATAAAATTAAATCCAAATTTTAACAACGGATTTTAAACAAATCCAAATTTATTGTGAACCATCGAAGTCGGTTTTAAGTTTTGTGACAAAAACTCAACCATACTCATTTAACTTTGAAGTGATCGCACTTTGGCTAATGAACTTTGAGATAGTTAAATTTTGGCTACTAAAATTTGAGATGATCGAGTTTTTAAATAGTGATTTTTTGAAAAATATATGGTTGAAAAGTTAGGAAATTTTTTGAATTTACTTGTAAAATATTTTATTGTATAGATGTGTGGTTAAATTCAAATTTATAGTGAGTAATATAAGACGTTTTTCAAAGTTCGGTGGCCAAAATTCGACCACTTCAAAGTTCAGTGAGAATAGAAGACATTTTTCAAAATTTAATGATCAAAATTTGACCATCCTAAAGTTTAACAGTGTAATGAAACACCATGTATGCATTCTGTCAGTCACGTCACCAATTCTATTAGATGTTTGAGACGGAAGTTATGCTAGCGAATGATGTACAATATTTTTCAAAGTTTAGCAGCCAAAACTCGATATTTTAAATCTTAGTGAGCAATCGAAGATATGAACCTAAGTTCGATGATCAAAAACTCAATATTTTAAATTTCAGTGAGTAATCTAAGATATGGATCTATGGAACAATTGACTCTCCATTTGGAGGATAGATTGGAAGATATGATTCAATTTAAATTTTTTAAAATCTCATTATTTTTAACTGTCTTTGTAAATATTTTGGGGTTACGTTAAGTTTAACAAAAAGGTGCTTTACATATATAACTGACATTTTCATCCTTCTTTAATTTTTACTGGAAATATTAAACAATCCAAAGTTATATAAATTTAAATTATCCTTAATTTTATAGATTTAATGGGTTATTAGAGTTTCCATAATTTTATTATAAGACATAAAGCATTAGACTATCTCCAAACCTGCACCAAATTTTGCACCATTTTGCACCAAATTATACAACAAATCTTGCACCAAACTAAAATTCATCTCCAACCATTACACCAAAATTACACCAAATGAACAGTATTTAACCATTTCTTCCCTTTTTTTATTTTTTATAATCTACTTATTTGAAATATTATTTATTTAATTATTTCATAAATACATAAATTACTAAATAAATAATTACGTTAAATTACGAAAAAGATTAAATTCATTAATAAATATTAAAAACATAGAACAATTAATAAAAATACTACAACAACGAAAATATGAAATAATGCCATTAGAAAATAGTACAATGCATTTCAAATTTGGATAGACGATATTACGAAGTCGTTAAATTTTTGCAATTTAATTATTAAAATTCATATGTTCATCCCACAAATAATCGATTAATGCATTTCGAAGTGCAATGTGAGTTTCTTTATCCTTGATTTGTCTATGAAGAACAAGAAATTCCTGAAAATGGCAATTTTCGTCTTCAACCAACTCAACTTTGTGTTAACTTTAATAAATAATCGTGTTTGATGTATTTTAAATTGTTTTCGTCTTTTAATTAATTAATTAATTATTATGTCTTATATTTAAAATTTATTTTAAACCCAAATAATATTAATATTAATAAAAAAAAGCAATAATTTATTGTATTAAAAAATATATAGCACAAATTATATAAATACTCTCAACAAATTTATTTGGAAAATGTTAAATAAGGGCAAAATAGATATTTTACACTTTGCACTAGTGCAAAGTTTGGTGTTGGGTTGAAGCAATTTTGCACCAAAAAATGGTGCAAAATGGTGCAATGGTATTGTGGATGGAGATGCCCTTATATACATTTCTTTTCAAAAAAATTTCCCACAAATTACTCCAACTTCGAATACATTCAAAAAGTCTCATTCAGGAATTACATTGCAAATTACTGTTGAATTTCGAATCGAGAGTATCAAATTGATCACTATTGTCGAGACATATTTAGACCAAAGTTCTTACGGTCACATTCATTGAGATTAATTACATATTAGTGAATTAGTGTTGCAAACCAAAAATTTTGCACTTTATTGCACCGACGATTTTTCTTGGTGATGGAGAGGAGACACTCGATTCCGATTTGGATTTTGGATTCATTGTTGATTTGGGTGGTAGCCATAGTCAGACAATCTAGTGGAGATATTATGTCTTTGTTTGTCACCCACATTAATTTTTTTATAGTTTCATTTTTCATTAAAATAATATTAAACATAAATAAACAAAATTTCCTTCATTTTTAACCACATATTTTAACAACAATCACTAATTCATAATACATTTTTTGAAATAAAACGGGCACAAACAGATTTCGATACCAGAAAACGGCGTGGTTGAAAAGGATGTTTGTGATTTTTTCTTGGGTGATGATAGGTGTACAGGAAACCTTACCAACACCTCACATGGGAGGGTGGGTTAATTTTTTAACATTATTTATTTATATAGGACCCATACCTTTATGAGAGATTGTTGTAAAAAAAAATTCTCTGTACACAATTAATTTTTGAGCCTATTTGAGAGTGATTTTGAGAATTGATTTTTTGACCGTTAGGAAAAAAGTGGGGTTTACTTGTGAGAGAAGAAATCAAATATAACGATTGGAATAATAAAATAATGGTCAAAAAATTAATTTTTTAGATGGAAAAATCGGGCCCAAACATACTCTTTGTATTTTCTTTACATCCATTTTTAATTTGAAGCTATTTGAAAAGTGAATCGGATGAGTTGTACTCCAATCAATGTGTTCAATAATTCAACTTCTCTTTCTCTCCCCTCAATAATCTCAACAGGCTGTCTCGGTCTCAAAATATTTGGGGATATGTAAGTTTTCAAAACAAGAAGACATTTTCGCCCTTCTTTAATCTTTACTGGTAAAAAATCCAAAGTTACATAATTTTAATAGATTTAGCTCCCGTTTGTCCCCATTAAATTAAATTTTATTTTTTTTATTTTTATTCACACAATCTTCCATAAAATAATATTACATGTAAATCGAATTTTTTTTTTCTTTTTTCAACCACTCATTTTTCAAAATATACTATTCAACCCATTTTAATTTGAAAAATTTGAGGCCAAAGGGGGCTTAATGGGTTATTAGAATTCCATAATTTTTATTATAAGACATAAAGCATTGTGTACATTTTTTTTTTCAAAAATATTTCCCACAAATTACTCCAACTTCGTATACCTTCAAAAAGTGAATACTACAGTCACTTTCAGAAATTAGAAAAAGATGGAGCTACAGGAGCCTAGTTCACAACCCCTGTCAAATGAAAGAGGAGATGGACGTGGGCTCCACCTGTTTTTTTAAATTGCTGTGGGACTCGACCCCCTACAGTGAGGGAATATGTACAGCCTCTGTGAACCGAGCTCTGTACATGGAGCTCGATCCTTCAGAAATTACATTGCAAATTACTGTTGATTTTCGAATCGTGAGCATCATATTGATCACTTGTCGAGACATATTTAGATCACAGTTTCTACGGTCACATTCATTGAGATTAATTACATATTTGTGAATTAGTGTTGCAACCCAGAAATTTCGCACTTTATTGTACTAACAATTTTTCTTGGCGATGGAGAGGACACGCTTGGTTCTGCTTTGGATTTACTGCTGATTTGGGTGGTAGCCTAGCGGTGATGAAGCTACAAATGTCATCATACAGCTGTGTTTCTTGTCCCATTTTGATAACAACGTAAGGGTCACGATTTTATGCATAAAATTTTCATTTTCTTTCAATTTTGTCCTTTTTTTCTTTTTCATTTCTTCAATTTTGAGTTTATTTTGATAAATTATAAGTAGGGTAGGCAAAAGTTATTAAAATTATTGGACCAAATCAAAACCGAACTAGGATCGATTGATTTAGTCTAATTCTGCTCAAGTTATAATGAATTCCGAGTATTAAAATCAAGAAATCGATCAATTTTGGTTTGGTTCGTAGTTCTAATACAAAAAATATAAAAATAAAAATACAAAAATCAGATTTAGAAGCCGTTTGACCCCATTATTTGTATATTATAATAAGATGAATAATATATTTTTTTGAAAAATGAGTGGTTGAAAAGTATTTGATTTACGTGTAATATTATTTTATTGAAAATTGTGGAATTAAAAGTAGGAGAGAAAAAAATATAATTTAATGTAATAAGAATTAATGGAGCTCAAACGGGGGGATTGACTTGAAATATTTACTTTTATTGATCGAATTTGTATATAATATATGGATGAAATGGAAGGTTCTCGATGTTTAATACTGATCGAATTTGTCAAAATATTGATATTGATTATTTTTTACATTATATTCACTCCAAGAAATTGATAATTGCATTGACGTGGACAATCCTAATAAGGTAGCCATAGTCAGACAATCTGGTGAAGATATTAGATGACAGAAAAGGCTTGGGACGTTTGTGGTTTTTTCCTTTACATCCATTTTTAATTTAAAGCTATTTGAAAAGTGTGAATTATGTACTCCACTATATTCAATAATTCAAACCCACTCTCCCCCGCACTAATTTCTGTCGTCTCCATATTCTGGTTTCAAACTCCATTTTCAGATCTGCAAGCTCCAAAGCTATATACTAAATTTTTTCTTGCTTCTTTAATGTTTGTATTTAATCCAAACAATTGGTAGAATCTATTAGCTTTTAAACACAAATACTTTTTTCCCTGCAATCGCTTGCATCCTTTCCTTATGTCATCAGGAGAGGGAGAAACAGGTACAGACTGCCTGGGCACGGAAGAGGGGTACTATTTACCAGACGAAGATAAATTGTTTACTGGGCCAATAGGTTTCCATATAATCGTGCTTGAGTATGAGTCAATTTTGTCCTGCCAACTTGGGCTCCCATCAACCGATAGGGTTGATTTTCCGGAGCCGATCGGAAACTCAAAAGATGTTGAAAAAATTAGACACAGTCTCCAACAACTATTGTCACGTGGGAAAAAGCTTGAAGAACTCTTCACTGTCCCAAACCAGCAAAGCTCGTCATGTCCTAATGAAGTTGTTGCAGCCTTTATCAACTTTCTACTCCGAATGGTAGAATCCATCCTTTGTTTTAAGGCCGAATACATTGCTTTCCATAATCTCCGGACAGAGCTGGGATTTCTTATTACTTTTCTTGGAGATACATCGATGCATTTGCAGCCCACAAATAATGTAGTGATAGATATCGAAGCTGCGGTCAATGAGGTTGGAAGTTTCTTTTATTCCTTGTATTTCGCCTTTGAAGTATTCTTTGCCACTCGGAAGGAAGAAACCCCTTTTACTTATTCGAGGCTTCATTCAACGGATTTTGAAGATGTGGTCAACGACGTAGTAAGTTTCTTGCACTCTGGCATTTTCGACGTTCTTGAGGACATGCCATTGCAGACCACTACTGAGGTAGAAGAAACCGAGAAAGCAATGGCGGATATCAAAGCTATGGTCCATGAGATAGGAAGTTTCATAGTTTTCACCAAGAATGATCGAGTCCCGGAGAGTGGAATAGTGGATCTAGCTCTTTCTGATTTGTTACCAAAGTTCGAGCTCTTGAAATCAAAGATCAAGGAGCACTGCATCACAGTCTCAAAGATGCCAATTGATATGGCTCCAAAGACTGGTGTGGTTTCACTCTTCATCGTTGATTCCGTTCTTGATGATCTCATGGACCTAATAAATAACAAGTCTGACAGGATTGTTGGTCTGAACGATCAAATTGTAATGTGGTCAACGACGTAGTAAGTTTCTTGCACTCTGGCATTTTCGACGTTCTTGAGGACATGCCATTGCAGACCACTACTGAGGTAGAAGAAACCGAGAAAGCAATGGCGGATATCAAAGCTATGGTCCATGAGATAGGAAGTTTCATAGTTTTCACCAAGAATGATCGAGTCCCGGAGAGTGGAATAGTGGATCTAGCTCTTTCTGATTTGTTACCAAAGTTCGAGCTCTTGAAATCAAAGATCAAGGAGCACTGCATCACAGTCTCAAAGATGCCAATTGATATGGCTCCAAAGACTGGTGTGGTTTCACTCTTCATCGTTGATTCCGTTCTTGATGATCTCATGGACCTAATAAATAACAAGTCTGACAGGATTGTTGGTCTGAACGATCAAATTGTAATGCTACATGAGGAGCTATTTTTATTGGGATCTTCCATCACCAGTATAGCTGTGCAGCAAGAAGCAGAGCAGGAAGAACTCATAATAAAAACCAGAGACATAGCATTTGAAGTTGAATATATTATCAACTCATTTCCCCCTGTTTGGTATCTCGCCCTCAGAATTCCTCTGCTCATCGAGAAGATTCAGCTTATTACAATGGCCATCAAAGAAATGAAGAACGATATTGATGTGGTTGGAATGCTAGAAGTTGCACAATATCCGGATGAACACTTATCCTCTCAATCTGAAGAAACTCCCATTTTGGATGTTATTGTGGGGTTTAAAGTTGTTGCACTCGAAATTACGGAACAACTTGTAAGAGGAACAGAGCAATTACAAATTATCTCCATATTTGGAATGCCTGGAATTGGTAAGACAACTTTAGCAAATAAACTATATAATGATCCATCAGTAGTCTATCATTTTTACGAGCGAGCCTTGTGTGTTGTTTCTCAAACATATAATAAGAAAAATATTTTGATTAACATTTTGAGCTGTATAAGAAATGTTAAGCAAGAACAAATTGCAATCGAGGACGAAGAAAGTTTGGCTGAAGCTGTTTACAAAAGTTTAAAAGGAAGGCGATATCTCATTGTTCTGGATGATATATGGGATATAAAATTATGGGATGATCTGAAAAGAATTTTTCCAGATGACGCAACTGGAAGCAGAATCTTATTCACCACTCGGAATAAAGAAGTAAGTTTGAAAGTGTCACCTCATTGTGTCATAAATGCACTTCCTTTTCTATCGGAAGATGAATGCTGGGATTTGTTACAAAAGAAAGTGTTCAGAGGTAAAAGTTGTCCTCAAGAACTGCTAGACGTTGGGAAGAAGATTGCAAAAAAATGTCATGGCCTACCACTTGCCGTGGTCGTGATAGCTGGAGTTCTTGCAAATATGGAGAATAAAGAACACTTGTGGCAAGAAGTTGCAAGAAATTTAAGTTCACATTTATCCAAAAATTCAAACAACTACACCCAGATACTAGAACTTAGCTATAATCAATTGCCAATGCACTTGAAACCATGCTTTCTTTACTTTGGAGCATTCAAAGAGGACGAGGAAATCCACATACAAAAGTTGATATCATTATGGGTTGCTGAAGGTTATATAAAGAAGGAAGAGCAGAAGAGTTTAGAGGATGTGGCACTAGAATGTGTGATGAAACTCATTGATCGGAGCCTGGTACTTGTTGCTGGAAAAAAATTTGATGGTTCAATCAAAACTTGCAAGATTCATGATCTATTGCGTGAAATGTGCTTGAGAATAGCTGAAGAAAAAAACTTTTTGAAGGTTGTCAATATGTAAGTTCCCTATTTCTCTTATTTTTTCTTCTCTATTCGTACATTTTTTTAGTGTAATAATAATGGTGACTATATCTGATGATCGTATCACGCGTGATTATGTTTATACCAGTAATGTTGATGAACCTCATCCACTACCATACTTCAATGAAGTGGCGATGTATCAGAAACACCATTGTTTGAGTATCTTCAATGGGGAGAATCCTACTGCCTCACTACCTTTCGGCCCACATGTGCGCTCTCTTTTATGTGGTAATGTAACGGTGCCCACATTAGTTGCATGCGGCTTCAAAGTTCTTAGGGTCTTGGATTTCTGCAGTCCCTGGATAAATCTTGTTGTAGTCGGAATTAACCAGCTGGTTCACGTGAGGTACTTGGCACTTTCATCTACACTTCCACCAATGGATAGCTTCCACAAACTAGAATTTCTTGTTCTACGCAACCGAGATGCTGTTGAAATACCGGATGTCCTCCTTAATATGATGAGTTTGAGACAAGTGCATTTTGACGGCGGTGCATACTTCAGTGAGTCTATCCGTCATCGAGCAATTAAGGATAAGAGCTTCCAAATAAAAAATAACCTACAAAGTATTTCTTTCCTTCAAATTTTCGATGAAGCGGATGAGAAAATTTTGAGATGTTCATCCAATCTTCGCAGACTTAAGGGCAAGGTTAAATCTTCACACAGTTATGCTTTCGACTTCCTTAATCAGCTCGAATCATTGAAGCTCAGATCACGACGTTACATGGGATATTCATCGTTCAATTTGATCAGTCTGCCCTTAAATCTCAAACAATTGACTTTAATACGTGTACGCATGGCTCGGGAACAAATGGAGTTGATTGGGAAATTGGAGTACCTAGTGGTTCTCAAATTACGTGATGTTTCCTTTGATGGACGACGATGGGACACTGGTGAAGGTGAATTTCCACAACTTAAATTCTTGAAACTCTCTAATGTAAGACTTGCAGAGTGGAATACCACAAGAGATCATTTCCCAAGACTTCAACGACTAGAATTGAGATATTGCAAACATTTGAAGATGATCCCAACCAGTTTAGGCGACATTCCAACATTACTAATGATTGAGGTATATCACTGCGTGGAAGCTATCAAAGAATCTGCTAAGAGAATTCAAGAAGAACAAGAAGACATGGGAAATGAAGAACTTAAAGTCATAATATTTGACTGGCAGAGTAAAAGTGAAGCAGAAAGTGAACCTGAAGAAGAAAGTGAACTTGAAGAAGAAAGTGAAGAAGAAACAAACATTACCGACCTATTTAAGATATTTAATATGGCACCAAAAGTTTCATTTAAAATTCAAATAACATGACATGCAATATGTACACAATTTTGTAATGGTAATTTTCTCAAGTTCATGTAGAAAATTTTATATATACGTTTATAAAGAGGAAATAACCAAGATTTTCCTACGCCATTTCTTATTCATATCATAATTAAATAAATAAATCAAACATCACCACATGAAATTTTTTATTCCACCAATATTAAATAAAACATATAGAAAGCATAATCAAATAAAATATGTCCCAAATCATAAATAACAATTTCCACGAAATAAAAAAACTCAAATGATGCTACAAATAAAATCTGTAGACATGTTACACCAGATTTAATTAATTTTTTTTTTTATTGAGTTACATAAATCATGGCACTACAATTGCATTTCATCGTCCGCTAACCAACAACACATTCTAACCTGTGAGGAGTAAAGGAAACAATATGACACAAAAATAATTGTACAATCCTGAATAAAAATATTTAAATCACGTGTTATAAATATCATACAGTCATAATCCTTGGGGACTAGTAAGATCTCAAAACATATCATATCTTTGGTATTAGATTGACATATCATATCATATATTTAACTTTCATAAATATAATAATTCAACAACATGAAAAAATAATTTAAACGAGAAAAAAATCGTACCTTGTTATCCTATCTCGTTAGATCAAATAAATTCTTGAAAGATAGAAACTTGAAAAAATCACGCTTCCAAATTTTGCTAAATATTTGACGCAAATAAAATTGAATTAACCCATATATCACTTTAGTCCCCCAAATTTTCAAAGAAGTAAATGTATAGCATATAAAATAATTAATTCTATTTTATGAAAATTTTGGGATTTTACAATCTCCCATCCTTAAATATACCCGTCCTCGAAAATTATCTTGTCTAACCAAAAAGTTCTAAGTCTTGGTTTTAAACTCCTCTTCTTTCTCCCAAGTTGACTTGTCAGTTCATGATTTTGCCATTAAACTTTTACCAATGGAACCTGTTTATATCTTAATTGGTGCACTTCTCTATCCAAAACCATCATCGAGATTTCTTTTTATGACAAGTCTTTTTGTACCTCCAATGTCTAATAACTTACCACATAATTGGATCATAGACATATTTTTTGAGCATCGAAACATGGAATACTATATGGACTTTTGTGAGTTCAGGTGGTAAGACAAGTCATTAAGCCACATTACCAATTCTTTAAAAAATTTGGAAAGGTCCAATGAACCGCGATCTCAACTACCCTTTCTTTCTAAATCTCAATACACCCTTCAATGATGCTATTTTTAGAAAAACTTTGTCCCCTACTTAAAATTCCAAATCCTTTCTTTTACCATCAGCATAAATTTTCTGTCAATCTTCTACTGTCGTTATTCTTGCTCTAATCTTATCGACAACCTCAACTGTTCGTTCAATGATTTCAGGTCTTTCCGACCTCATTCCAATGGAGAGGGGATCAATACTTCTTGAATTTGGCATATAATTTCTCTTTCCTCAAAGTTTCGAGTACTATTCAGAATTGTTCCTCATGCTGCTTCTTATCTTTAGAATACACAAGTATATAGACTATAGACTATGACGAACTGGTCTAAGTACCGATGGAACACTCAGTTCATTTGATCAATAAATATAGTTGGAGCATTGGTCAAGCTGAAAGGCATGAAAGTGAATACATAACGTCCGCAACGAGTTTTGAAAGCAGTTTTCGGTATATCGCTTGCCTTGACCTTTAGATGATGATACCCCGATCTCAAGTCAATATTTGAAAACACTGTTGTACCCCTTAATTGGTTGAATAAATCTTCTATTCTTAGCAGAGGGTACCTATTTTTAATAGTCAGATAGTTAAATTATTGATAGTCAATGCACATCCTCATACTCTCATCTCTCATCTTCACAAAAAATAGTGGAGCACCTCAAGGAGATATACTCGGTTGAATGAAACCTTTTTCCAACAACTTTTCCAACTGTAATTTCATTTCTTGAAGTTCTTTTGGTGTCATTCGGTATGGGTCCTTAGATATTGGTGCCGCTCCGAAAACCAAGTCAATTGTAAATTCTATTTGACTATCTTGTGGAATGCCTGTAGATCTTTTCAGAATACGTCTGCAAAGTCTAGGACAACATAATATCATCAACGGTTGTTTCTATAGGTTTGAAACCGATGATATTAACTAAGAATCCTTGACATGACTCTTTTCTCAACATCTTCTCCATTTGAAAAGCCGATACAAGGCGAGGTAGAGTCTTGCACTTTGCTTCAAAGAAACAAAACTCTTTCTCTCCTGGTCAATGAAACAACACTTCTTTCTCGTGACATCGAATGGTTAATGGATTGTGTCTCAGACAGTCCATGCTTAAAATAATATCAAGATCTTTCATCTTTAAAAGGTATAAGTTCACCAGCAGCACATGCAATGTTGGACTTAGCGACGAAGGATGTCGAGATAAAAGAATTTGTGGTCTCAAAGTCAAGAAGTACATAAACAAGTGTATCAGACATTAATAAAATACATGTTTTCGTAACTATAGTGTTAGAGTTAGCGACTTAGGATGTAAAATCAAGAACATAGACAAGTGCTTCAAATAATAATAAAATACCTGCTATCACATTCGCATCCTGCTCCGTCTCATGCTGATTTAATGCAAAAACTCGAGTCTTCCATTTCTTGTTCTTATCCTAATCATCATCATTTCTCTTTAGAGGCTTTGTATAGTTGAGAGCAATGTGTCCTGATTTACCACACTCAAAACACATGTTCTTCCCAAATTAGCATTCATCCACTAAAACAACATACCGAAATCACTACAAAAAAATGTTGTCACATAAATAGATATTTTGTTGCAAAAATAATTTTGCGACGATGATATATTTGTTGCAAACGTTGTCGTGCTATATGAGTCATAAAATATTTTTTACAAAATCTTTTGTTGATTCATCACATTAACAAACTCGAAACACTATTTGTTTGAAGCAAAAATACAAAATAGCACCAAGTAATTTGTCGCCATATATAATGTCGTTACAAAGCATATAGGTCGCGAAAAATAAAGATAGCGACAAGTTAGTTTGTCGCAATTATTATTCCAGAAATGTTTTTGTGAGAAAATGTTTGTTGTGAATATTATGTTAAAGATATAACTTTTGTTATCTATTCTATTTTGCAACAACACATGCTTGTAGTGATATATTTTTAATAACAAGTCATGTTTGTCATGAAATATGATTTACAATTTCTTTGATATGACATATAATTTATTTTCAGATATTCAATACTTGTAGTAAAATTTATTATGTAACAAGTGATTTTTCTAATTAAATTTATTTCGCAATATAAAGAGTTTGTTGCGTCATTATTATATATAGTTATTGGATAATTTATTTCGTGATTATTTATATATGTCAAATATTTTATTTTACAACATATAAAATTATTGCATAAATTATTTTATGACAATAGATTTACAATACTAGATGTGCTTGTATTTAAATTTATTTCGCAACACAAAGAGTTTGTCACTTCAATGAAATACAATTATTACCAAACTTATTTTATCTTTATTTATGTAATTCTTGGATTTTTATTTTAAACATATAATTTTCAATTTTTTTGCCAATTGAAGTGTAACTACAGTACACAATGACCTACTTCATTAAAAATAACTGGTGACTTTAAAAAGAGAATGCTTCAATAAATTATGGAATGATTTGAATGAACATTGCTAATTGCGTGTTGACAGAAGTCTACTACCTAACCTGTTTTAACTTTTGCTTTAGCTCTTGCCTTACACCGTGTATGCGGAAGAACTGAGAAAGAGTAGAAATTACAACTAAAATTTCACTTTGACCTCCAATATAGCTACTTAACATTACCAACAGAAGCTACCGATTCTGAGATATAGTGTACTAGTTGGCAAAGTATTGAAATAAACCTCTTTGGAAAGCCAAAGAAAAAGCAAGCCTCACATGTTAAACTTTTTCAGGTTTGTTTGATCTCCCAGCAAGCCATAAGGCTTCAATTGCATGAACAGGGCCATGCTGCAGTAGTTGCTCGTTGAATGAAAATAGCACCAAGACATAATGTGTCGACATAAGAAAAACAAAATACAATTAAATAGAAAATTGAAAAATAATGTTCAATTCAATATTATTGACGGACATCTTATAAAATAGAGGAGGAACTTTTAGAATTTCATACATAGAAATTCACATAATCAAATACAGTCGAACATGATCAAATGCGCGTACTACTGTTATTCACTGTCAATTCAAAAGATGAGTGTTTCAGATGGGTCGATCTTCAGTGGTAGCATACCGATAGGAGACATTTTCACTGGAGAGTCCTTTATGATGACCGTACAGGAGTAGTAGTTTCTTTTTCCCAATGACTCCTTGTCTTGCTCGGCATACTAGTTAAATGTAGTTATTTGATATGAAATAGCATGAGCTATCTCCAACATTTCATGATATGAAGTAAAACGATAAGACATTATGATCATGCTGATCTCCAGTCACAGTCCATTTTCAAACGTCCTGATCTTTTTTAACTTCGGTATCTACCAAGTGCAAGGAATATCTTGAGAGCTACTCAAGCTGTCTCTTGTAATCAGGAAGTGACATGTCTACCTCCCTGAGTTGCTGAAACTCTGATTCTTTGAAGTCTCTCAAAGCCTGTGGAAAATACTTTACTATCACTTTATCGTTAACTGCTCCCAAGTCATGTTGCGCTACTGTTTTTCAGTCCGAGTACGAGAGACAGATTCCCACCACCGATTGGCTGCTCCAACAAACATGAATTCTATGGATAATACCTCATGTACATCCGTACAAGCGACGTGTCAAAATATGCGCTCCAGACCTCTTAACTACTCCTTGGCAGTCGGTGGTTAGAAACTGCTCAACCACTGAAACAGCTTCAGGGACAAAGGGATGTGCATTCTGCTGTGGCGATGCATTTTGTGGTGGGGTGCTTGATTCTGCCTGCTTAGCTCTTGTACTACTCACAATAAATCATGCATCAAATTCGTGTGGGTAGTCGTGTCATTTCCTAAAATTTAAGATTAAGCCACCCGTCACATACTAGTACTAAGTTTAACATGTTATAGATATATTCTCATAATAAATATCATAAATTTTAGCTAGAAAACAAACTTGCATGTCTTAACAAAATGTAAAAACAAGCAATTAAAAGATTTAAGTTATGTAAAGGTTTAAATAAACTCCTCTTCTTACCCCTTTACATAGCTTGGAGTTGTCGGAAGGTGCTCAATTAGTGGTCGTTGAGTGCCAAAAGTCTTTCAATTTCTTATATATTTAAGA